TGAAATCAGATGCCAAATTGGAGTACCGTAATAATTGTTTATTGGTCCAAGAAATTGACTCACCTCTTTGCACATCAGGGTCTTTGGGATAACTCTTGAGGACGAACAAAACAACAAGTAGAGAAACAATGAGAATCAAGTCAGCAAACGGCCAACCCAGCAAGGAGAGAATGAATCTAGACATCTATCTATCTGTACATGATGAGAAAATTTGTTTTGAGGTTTCGAGTCTATCTAAGGTAAATACCCCAAGACATGTCTCCCACCACGATGGACCTCCTGAGATACTAATCCCATTAAGCCGACGCTGCCTCCACCGTAAACTAAGTCCAGCCTTCTTGCAACCTACACAATAAAGCAGAAAAGAAAGAAAACCCACAAAAAATTTGATGTCAAATCTTTGTTTACGATTCTCGTTCATTCATTCCCATGTAGCAGTGGCGGGTGGAGTATATCCTGTAAGTAGACATAAAATATCAGAGGAATCTTTATGGAAGTGGGGCAGTAGTATACCAGTTCCTGGCCTAATTCAAGAGCAGCATCTCTGTAGCAATTCCTCTTGCCAGAACTGCTTCCGCAAAACACACAAACCCTCCTGAACCTTGACTTGGCTGCTTCCTCATCCTCCATAAATCTCATCTAGCTAGTAATACTCCTTTTAGGCTTTTCTCTGTGTGTGTGTGTATATATATATATACATGTATATGCCTTGTGGCTTTTTTTTTTTTTTTGGGGGGGTATGGATTTAAAGACTAAAGGATGCATTGTATGGTCCTGTATTTATGCGTTTTTTTTGTGACTTTATGTCTCTCCTGTGTGTACGTATATATGGTCAAGAAAGGGTATATAGTATATTAATTTTAGTCTCTCTCTCTCTTTTTTTTTTTTTGGGCGTTGGGGGAGGAGGGTCCGTTGGGGTGGCTCCCCACCCAGGAATACGTCACCACTCACCAGGCGGTACCGAAAAGGAACACGGAACAACATCCACAAATGGGACCCGCCGGAAGCAGAGTGAACGAATCATGATTGGATGAATGCTCAATGCTGGAATTGCTATTGCCACGTGGATCCCTTTGCCGGATAATTTCCACTTTCTACTTTTTCTTTTTCTTTTTTATTACTCCATCGTCTTTCTTCCCTTCCAGCTAAATTGGAATTTGGGAGTTGGGACCCATTAAAATTTAAGACATCAATTTCACCTTCTAAATATGATATTGTAGTGGTAATCACTTTTAACACTAATTAATCATTGTAGTAAAATTTTGCAATCTACATGTATGCTAAAATTTCAACTTCTATATACTGTCTTGATTAATGCTGAAAGCACAAAATCCATGTTTATATTTTGTTGCCGTGGATTCTCATACACGGCTAAAGCTCCACTCCTAGACGAGCCAATGTGTTCAAATTTTAGCCATAGACATGTCATAGATAGTTGCTATTCAATATTCCCACGACATTAGTTAGAATAGACAGTTCGTTACTGCAATATAAATAGGAAAATGTTATTTGCACGGTCCTTTTTATTATTTGCATTTCTACTATTATTTTTATTATTATATAGTTTTCATATATAAGACTATATAATATAACAAATGGTACGAGTATAAATAACAAAATATTCCCAAACACGCATCAAGATTAATTCGATCCCTTTGCAAGCGCACATCGTTGGCTTGTGATTTATTGTGACCATCAATTTGAGGAAGGATAGGTTGCTTTCTCACAAATATTGTAGGTTCGAATTTCACTATTAATTTACAGTTGTATTGATGGGCTATTTATAAAAATTTATGCAATCAATCTATCTATGGTATCATATCAAAGGCATTTTCTAACCCGTGGCGGTTGTTTGTATTCCTCGCCTGAACTTACTGACCTGCTTTTGCTTGCTATTGCTTTTGACTCGAGTGTTTCACTGAAATTCGTTGACAAAGGGTCACGTCTATGACTACGTATAGATATCAACTTTCACATCTCCTAAACCAATCCAATAGCAATGGGTCAAAATATACTTGTGACTCGTAGCCGGTTCCTTCCGTATACAATATAGTAACTAAGTAGCTGTATCAGAAAATGACTCTCAGTTCAATATCAACAGCAGAAGAAAGAACGTCTTAGAGCAACAGCAGCGCGGGTGTAATGGAGGGCCATTGCACCACTCCATGACACGGTCTCCCATTGGAGCCGTGTCATGGAGATTACACGCATCATGGACGAATCATATCCATGATGCGTGTAATCCATTAGAAGGTGGGATCTATGATTAAATGTAAAGTAATTTTAGCCACCAACGATTACATTCAATTTTTGCTTCAACAGTTAATTTACCAGCACACAACACATTTTAGCATATTTGGGAACGATTCGAAGGCAATGACAATAAAAACTAGTATTCATTTTGTTATTATTTGTATTTTATTTGATTTAAATTATGTAATATTATGTTATGGAGTTCAACTAATTACATTCCGAATTATTAATTAAGTATGGATTATTATGATATCTTCGCATTTGAGGTATCAAATATTTGTTTAATTTCCTGGATAATTATTTTTGAAAAAAAAAACCATATATTATTTTTGAAAGCTAGAAAAAGATATATTATTCAAACTTAAAAATTAATAATATCATTTTTAGAAAATAAAAAATTCAAAATGTAAAAAATTTAATGAAAGTTAGTACTTTATTTTTAAAATAACAAAATTATTTTTAAAAATTACTTTATTTATTTATGGGATATGAGTTATGCATTATTAAAATAAATATTTGATTTAACTGTGGATCCATGCTATTACACCTTATGGAGTGTAATCCATTGTGAGTGAAAGTGTAATAAAAGAGGAGAAAGTAGAATGCTGACGTGACATGTGGATTACACTCCACAAGGTGTAATAGCATTGTGGATGCTCTTAGCATTAAAGTACATATGAACTTCATTCATTTAGGACCTTAATAAAGATAAGAATTTTAGTCGGCAAGGTGGGACCCTACTCCTTTTTTTTTGGGGGGGAGGGTTTCGTTCTCACTTAATTTTTTTTAATTTAAAAAAAATTCCGGACAAGAGAAGTGAGGAATGAAAACCAAGCATTTAAGAAAGAAAGGAAGAAGGAGAAGGGGATTTGGCTTTTAATACAATTGTTACATGGTGTTGTAACATTACCTTATGCTAGAGATGCTTATTTAAATGTTCGAATTATAGTTATACGTTAACATTATAAAAAATTTTCTATGAGAACAAGTTGAGATGTCTGACACACACTACTTTGTATTCAAATTTGTTCAAAAGTAGTCTACTCACTAAATTTTGAAAAGGTCTCTTGTAATCTTAAAACAAAAACAGTGCTGTAAACCTAAATCATCATCAACCATTGAGCTTGGTTCAATGGCCACCAGGGAGGGTTTTAAGTTCTTCATTGGGTTGTAGGTGGGGGTTCAAATCTTACCTGTAACAAAAAAAATTCAAGAATTATGCTAAACCACTCCCTTAATCTAGTAAGATCTATGTACCTGAAAGCCCGAAACACAACTTCTTTAGGCCCCCTCCCCTTTAATTTAGAATGTATAGATTATACAATAATTGTCGTCTCTGGAAAAAAAAAACCTAAATCATTATCCAAATGCTTTGTTTATTTCTCATATTTGATGTATGTGTGATGCATGTCATATATCTTCTATCTTTTTTTTTTTTTTTTTTGTCAAAAATCTTCTATCATTATCATAGATTCCATGAATGAAGAGAGAGAGAGAGAGAGAGAGAGCTAATCGCTTATCCAACTGTTTTGCAAAATGAGCCGACGTACTTAAGCGACGGTTCATCATCATACATAGCATACACAGAAGAGAGAGAGTTTATAGTGAAGCAGCTTTCGGTTACTATAGCGACAATTCATGAGACATAGTTAAATGGAAAATGTTACACGTGCAGTGCAGATGTTGACAATTTTCCCAGGTTTTAGTATTATTATTATGGCTGGTCGTTGGAGGGAGAAAAGAGTCTTCTTGAAGTGGGGTGGGAGGAGGATGGGTCGATTGAGGAGCAAGATGGAAGTTGGCACGGGGCTTCTGCCGAAGCTGGGGACCTTGAAAATGTGACGGGGTCTCCTTCTGGCGTAAGATGATAGAAGATGATTCAACGTCTTTTTGTTTTTGAATCGAATGCTCCTGTTTTAAGTGCACAATTCTTTGGCGGCCGAATGATGCATATGAACACATGGAAAATGAAAATTGCACCAAAGTAATTTTAGCCAACTCTTTTGCTGGATCGCACTTTCATAATTAGGGCCCCAAAAAGAGTCTGCTAAATCTAAGCTTTAGTTCGACTGGGAAAAGTTTTTAGACCCAAATTAAATATAAGTCGAGATTAGATCATATTAAACTCAGGTCATACAATTATGTATTTGAGCCAAAATCCAATTCAAAACCGCAATTAACACCCCTATTTATTTTATAAGAGAACACAACCCACACTCGCACGTAAGCTTGACAAAGGAAGTTGGCATCGGCTTCGTCTGAGATAAGTGTCCGGCCCAGTACCAGCAAACTACTAGTGTTGTATTGTTTTCATGAGAATGGGCTCAATCAGCCAGCTCCCATCTCGATTAGGCCAATTTAACTTCTCAAAAGCCTAGTACTCCTGCACAGACGTTGCCCATGATAGAAGCCTTGTTCTCACAGTTATATTTACTTATTAGGTGTGCATTACTTGGCAATAAGAAACTCATGAAAACAAAAAACCGGTCAAAAAATTATACTCCAAGAATTTCTTGGAGCCTCAGCCGCTGACTCTAAGGATCTTAATCCAAGATTTTATGTCGACTCGTATGTGATAGAAAACGAAGTCGTGATGTGATATAATAGCTAATAGGCACATTAGATTTGCAGACACCAGGTCGTCTGGTCTGCATGGCAACGGTTGCTTGACACAGGCTGGCAGAGCCGCTTATGACCCAAATTCACCAACAACTAATGTGTCATTAATCTAATAAGTACTGCCATTCAACAGCGTTGGAAGTTTCCTCCAGACAACATTTGATCCTTTAGCTGTTCCTAGTATGCGTACGACAAATTAGGTCGGTACGGACTCCTCCACGAAGGAAGGATACTTCCTCTGTCCTTTTCCTGGCTGCAGGAGATCTAATCACGTCAATTGACCACCAGCTGTTTCTTTTCAGAAAACTAGATCGCCTGAGCTAAGCTGTATAAGTTGCTAATTCTAGGAAGGATTGATGAGTACTTAATTAGTACAATCTTCAGACCACAGTAGGGTCTAATTGGTTAATTAATTCCATCTGCTTGCGAAATGACACGCCTGAATTTTTTTGCTCTTAGAGACTTGCACGATTCGGCTAATGACTCGCTTCACTCGCGAATCACCAAAAGGGCAATTGCTGATAAACAAGAGAGAGGGTTCACGAGGTTTCAGAAGCGTCCCTGAGAATGTTGGAAACTTGCGGCAACACCAGGGATGTTCTCTCGTTCGCCAAAGACCATCTGCATGACCTTCAATCGGCTTTCCGAAGACGAGTAAGCATCGCCGACAGCAGTGCAGCTGGAGCAGCAAACAAATTCTCCGGCTACAGTCTCGAAAGAAAGAAATTGAAGAAAGCCATGCTAAGGCGGCTGCACTCGTTGAAGGAGATGAAGAACAAATGCATCCACTCATCGTCATCATCATCATCAGATGTCTCGTCATCCTTGAACCATAACCTTGTTGCTGTGGTCAATGTGCTGAGACAAGTGAGAATGGCCACCATGGCCATCGTGGAGTCCCTAATGTCACTCATGTCCATGCCTAATGCGAAGCGGCACAGTAAATCGAATAGAGGGTTTTTCGAGGCCAGGCTAAGTCGTGTGGACAGCCTAAGTTCGTGGTGGGAAAATTGTGACACGAGCATGCTGCAAGAAGCTAGTAAAAGAATGCAGGCGGTGGAGATGGCCATTGATGATCTTGAAGAAGAGTTGGACTGCATTTTCAAGCGTTTGATTCAGACTAGAGTATCGCTTCTTAACATACTCACCGCCCACTAGCATACAGCTTGCCCAGTTGCAAGTTGCGACTCGCGGCTGGCCACTTCCGGCAACCTACTCTTCAGCCGGAAGAAGCTTTCAACATTGATTACTTTATTCTTTATAATTAAATATTATACCCATATATTGCAGCACTTCTTTGATGATAACTTCGGCGTCATGAATTTGTCTTGCTTTCATTCGCATTAATCTCCATGCCGGACAAGAGGTACGTTTGGAAGTCTATTACAATTGGCCTCCGTATATAGCAAGGTCAATATCTTCCGTGTAAGCTGGAGCATTTTGCTGCTAAATTTATCAAATTGGCTTATGAACATTTCGTTTGCAGACGATTGGGTTTCTCCACAACTAAAAACCTCTGGTTGATGATTTCCTATTAGCCGCAAACTTAAAGATTTTAGACATCGAATTTTGTCTAGCTTGAATTGTCCAATGATTGAAGAATAAGGAGCAAGCTCTTAAGACCAATTAGATTGCGCTTTAGCAGTAATTCTTTTCTCAGATTGCCGCCCAAGTAGTTCCTTGTTTTGACTTCCGAGTAGACTTGCATTATTATTGTCCTTTTATGATTGTTATTCAATTTTGTAATTTCACCGAACAAGACTTTTGCCAAGCTCAATCAAATCTAATCTCTAATCACTTTGATAAGTCGATTCAGACAACAGAGCGTCTTTGATGGTAGTACCAGCTATCCTTACTTTGGCTCTATCACAAAGAAAAAAAGAAAACCATCAAACAAAAAAAAAAAAAATTGAGAGTTCGAACCCTACCTGCAATGAAAAAATTCAAAAGAGATGACAGAGAATCCTTTTTGGACTAAATCAGATCTGCATTTAGAATAGGATGGGCTAGATTATAAGAATGTTATCGTTGCAGCCAAGAAAAAAAAAAAAAAAAGGGAACAAAGTCAGATGCTTACAAATTTGTATTTAGTACAACGTTTAATGAGCTTCAACTGCTCTAGACCCAGAGTCACGGATCAAAGTCAGATGCTTCAACTGAAAATACTTCAGTTACGAGGACACATAATTCCATTGCAGAATATTCCAAAGCTGCATTATTTCTTAAAGGAAAACTATCTTAGGAAACAGGATATGGAAACCAGTGCATTACATCATCAAGTTCAGAATGTTTTTCCTTTCAAACATTTAACCCGATAGGCAACTGCATGAGAAATCCCCCAAAAGACCTTCACAGCACGAGCACATCAGAAAGTTCTCACTTCTGCTTCTCCGCTTGTCAAAAAGACACCTACAAAAGATACACACTGCTAACACGTCGTAAAGATATACAGAGAGAGCACCAAACTTTCAGCAACTTTATCAACACTGCATACACCCAAAGATTGTACATAATATCTTCAACTTCTCTAGAATGAGACAAAGTCCAGATTTTAACTGATGCAAGACACTGAAAAATAATTCAAATGCCTCTCCATTTTGTGTGATAAAACATACCAAGCGTACTGCAAAATGGGTTACCTTAGCTAATGTTCATGCCCATGATCATGTGAGTGATCGCCATGACCTTCCCAAGGATGCCTCCAGCCCTTTAATGCGTACCAAGTAAATCAACAGGGAGTGTAATTAACAGGCACAGTTATCATGGAAGATTTAGAAGGAAAAGAGCATTTAAAAGCTTACCAACACTACAGGACCATCCTGTTTGGCCCTGTATAGAATCCAAAACCTGATATATGCAACCAACAAGAAATCCAAGTCAGCTTCAAAATTGCAGTAACATGGGCAATTGAAGTGTTAACTTGATTGTGATACTATATAGTTTAAATTCTTACAATTATATCAACTGCTACCTTATGAAAGAATTATTATAATTACTATGCCTCAGAAGCTAAAGAATGTTTTATTTGGCACTGTAAGCCTTCTTATGCAGTAATATATATATATTTATAGACACAGAGAGAGAGAGAGAGAGAGAGAGAGAGCGGGGGGGGGGGCAGGGGATAAAGAGAAGAAGAGAGGCAGAGAGAGCAAACAAGTATTTTATGAGTCAACATAGCATTTGTGAAAACAAAAACAGGATAGCAGCATGACAAAAACTTGTGCTTCTGAAAATGATATACACTTGGGCTCTTGAGAAATTGGACAAGTAGATTTTATACTACAGTGCACCAAAACAATCTGCTACAAGTTCAGATATGAAACTCAAATATGTTCCATATACTTGAGAAACAGCACTAATTTATGCATTTACAATTCTAAAGGGTTAACTTCTCTTCATGACCAGTGCTTAAAATTGTGGCACACACACAATCGGATCAAATTTCATAATTAAAAAATATATATATGTGTGTGTGTGTATGTGAACATGACAATGATAGTCTGATGAGGCTAAGATCCAAAGTGAGAAGGATGATGATTCTGAGCAAATTCATATTTCAAGGTTATGTAAACAAAATTTTGTTGTCATATAGACAAGATAAAGTAACTACTTCCAGCATCCCTGTGAGGCTGTACTTATCTGCTAGTCTGCATGTTGTAACATGATCCAAGTCCTAATTTTTCTACATATCTGACCTATCTGAACCCAAAATACAACCTTTCATCAACTAAATGAGATAAAAATGAAGTTCTCCTATTATCACCAGTTATCTCAACGTGTATCTGAGACAGAGTTGAATTTATGTACAAGAATATTTAACCACAGAAACATTTGTTCACCTGAACCTTGGATATATTCTTCAAATACAGTGAGATGAAACTATCAAATATCATATTACTTCAGGGAATCTACTTTACCAAGAAATGATGACTTAGCACCAAGGGAACCCATATGACTGAAGTCAAGTTGCAAGCCAGTATTGTACAACAAAAATAAAGGTAGACGTTACACTTTCGTCGCAAGTTGCAAGCCAGTATTATACAACAAAAATAGTTATAAGGTAGAAGTTAAGCTTTTACGCCAACCATTGTTATTCAGTCACAAACACTATAACTTTGCACCTAAAATATCAAACTATGGAACCAAAAAAGCAGGATACATAATATCTTTAACTTGGTTCAGAAATGAAAACTAAAAAGAAGAAACCATCAACAATGTAACTACAACGTCAGAGGTAACAGATGCAATATAACTAGAGCAACAACATACTTGTGAGTAACAAAAATTGGGAATTTCTCAAAAACCGATTTTTGTTACAGAAAACATGAAAACACAATGGACGCCATGGATAGTATAACACATAATTTAAAGAAAGAGAGGAACTGAATGTAACAACTCTTAAATCACAAGACCAAAGCCTTTGCATCTTCTATTGTTGTAATATGTATATCTCCTCTAGATGCATCCCATCAATGACCTAGCAATCGGACTTGACCACCTACCACTACTAAAAATAGCAAGGAATTATTTTGTTTCATCATATATAACCAGCCCTGATATTGTAAATCCACAAGAAGCCAGCATCACAAGAAAACAGAAAGCAATTCAAGCATGCGATTTTTATTTAGCATGCCAAGTGTCACCCATTTGTTATTCCTCCCACCAAACACGTATATTATTTTGCAAAAATGTCAAAATCAAACTAAGACTACCGCAAGGACAAAAGCCAAACTTGACAAGAATGTACAAGAAAGAAATCTTAAAAAGGAATCGATCAATCCCTCAAAATTGAGAATTAAGACAACGAAGAAAAAAAACATTTTAGTCTTTAATCTGAAGTCAACAGTAGCATCATCTTGATACCAGTTCTTGCTCGCAAGCAAAAGAAAAAGGGAGGGGGGTGGGGGTGGGGGTGTGAAGGATGCCTCCTTTAGTGCATCCACGTATCAACAATGGCATGTGAAAATTTTCTTATTTCTTCTAATTACGTGCGGCCCCTGGGGCATCTACTGAGGTATTCATTTTTTGAGACTATAGCTTAATTTGTACGGCTCTAACCTACATAATTAAGAAATTACAAAGGAAAGAGAGGTTCCAGATCCTCAAAAGAATGCAATGAAGACGAAAAGGCTTAAACTTTAATTACCCAACCAACAAAACAGTCACATCCAGAAGTAACAATTAGCCTAATTAAAGTGACTCAAAAGGAAAACAAAAAAAAAAAATCCACACTCATCTAGTTACGATTACAGCAGCTAAAAGAAGAAAAGTGATTTCATCGGCTTATGTTTACCAAAAGAATGGTGCTGAGATAGGAAATTTTACCACATAAGGGCGCACATGCCCTTTCCGGTGACCGCGTGCCACCGCTTGGGATGGTGCACAGTGATGCCTTTGAAAGTAGTGCCGTGTCCATGTCCTCCTCCGGCCATTCCGACGACGTTTCGATTGTGCGATTGAAGTCCCAGAGACGAGATGATGGAGTGATTCACTCTTTCAGGAATGAAAGTGGGAACGAAAACGAAATGAAACCCATCGAACTACCCGGAATCTGATCTCAGAAGCTTAGGAGGCTTCCCCGTACTGTTGGGCCTCCCCTCACCTGAAAATTTACGATTGGGCCGATAGAATTGGATTAGGCTTTTGACAATACCCTTTAGGGCTTTGAGAAGACTGGACGTATTTTGGATCAGAGTTCCGGAAGCAGGCCGCGGGGAAAATTTATACGCTAGTAAAAGAGGCACGCTCCAGGCACTGTGCAGTCCGTTGAACAGACAAAAAAAAAATTGTGATAGACTAAAAAAACAAATGAAGAATAGTTAAGAAATATATGCGCCATTTGACAAATGAATTTTTTGGGTGTTTATTTAAAACTTTACTGTAACTTATCGTAGAAGATGTAGAAAATGTTTTTGAAGTATATAAATTTTTGATAATTTGAAATGTATAGTTTAAAAATTTTGAGAAACTTTTTAAGGTTAGTGGAGTTAAAGTTGTTGAAAAACTTGTAGCAAATAAATTTGGCAAAAAACTTGTTTGCCAAACAGGTCCATACACATGTACAATAGTCAAATCAAAAGGGAAAATATATAAAATAATGAATATGAATGACTTACAAATGAATCCTTTGGAAAAGGAAAAAGATTAATTACTTACAATAGTGGAGGATTAACATGGGAAGGGTGTAGTGATAATTACGTAGAAGTGATAAGTTTTATAGATAAGATGATAGTAAATATTGGAAGGATATTATTTGACACGTTAGATATTAAAAAAAAGGATAGAACAGAAAAGAAAAATACTAAGGAGAAGAAACGGTAAAAAAGTCTCTAGCAGTAAAGTAGTTACCCCAAAATAGGCTTCTTTTTTTTTTTTTCTAGGTAGGAAAGAATGAAAAATAATACTTTATCCATCAAACTTTGCTCAAAATTCGCATAGTCAACACAAAATGTATGCGTCAACTAATACGGAGGGCTTAAATTTACACCCCTTTGTCTTAAATCCACACGAAGGGCTGGTGAATAACAAATCATGTCTTTATGCATGCGTTGCAGAAACAGCATCACCATTTTGGCTGGTGAACTCCCACGTACATTTTACATGTCTTCTGTCTCCCGGTGTCTGGC